TCTGAGATAACTCTGGCTCAGGACGTGACATTGACGTTTCGGAAGAACCATCAGTGGTAGCGATACTGCTGCTGATTTCAGTGGAGAGGTTGTGTCACGGGAGCCGGTCCTAACTCCCATGTAGTGCGTATTTAGGACCCTATGCAGACGGTAAATTCCAGAAGAGACTGGAGAAGGACATAGGGAAAACACGGAGAGGAATGGATGGGTGGAACTGACCCAACCACAGAAGGGTCTGGTCTGTACTCACACAGGATAGGAGAGAGAGAGACAGGTACTGACCCAACCACAACAGAGCCTGGTCTGTACACACTCAGGACAGGAGACACAGTCAGGAACTGTCCCAACCACATATGGGCCTGGAATGTACACACACAGGACATGAGAGAGAGACAGGTACTGACAGGGGGCGGTGCCAACGGTAATCCAGGGAATGGACAAGCCTTGTGGCATCCATTTTCCAATACTATACCAGGAATAGTGAGAGCACCAGTCTTAAATAATGACAGACTAAACAGGAGGCAGATGCATGTAATAAAGTAAAATACGAAAGGCTCAGAGCACCCTTAAGAGGAGGGATGACGATTGTGAAAGGTTGGTTGTACAGTATATGAAAATTGTATTGGCAGAGGGGATTTAGTCATATCGGCAACTATCAGTAGGAAGGTGACCTTGTTAGCCAGCAGTTACTCGTGCAGTCCACTTCTTGCTTATACATACCCAATCTGAAATAAAGATGCAGACACGCTGTCATGTTGAAACCTTCCCATCTTCCCATCGACTTTGGAATTGCATCTCTGTTGATGAATGCATGGTTACCACCATCTTGCTGTAGCTCATCACTGCATAATGTAAACCTTGGACACATGTGATGACATTGCTGGCACTGATTAGCTGGGGCCCTTTCGATTCTAAGTCACTTTGGATAAAAAGCATCTATCAAAAGAATAAAAGCCAGCTGGCTATTGCACCAATGAGTATGAGTGAAAAATACCAAATTTTCAGTTACATTCACATCTTCCAAGGACTTCCTTTACTTGGAGTTTCCACAGTGGTAATACGGTGAATAAGCTAACAGAATGTAACTTAAGCCTTCTGTACACTTCAGCAATCTCCTCACATATTCTGTAGACGTGCTCTCTAGAATGTATTATTATTAAATGCTAGTTTGACCCTTATCTGTAGCCCTTGCTTGCTTTGGTATGGACAACATGAAAACACCTTTTATACTTTTCAGTTTGGAATTAGCCATTTAATTTGTTTAATTTTTTTTCTTGATTGAATTGAACAAATCAGCAGGTATTTAAACTTTCATTATGATAGTTTTTTTCGTGTTTTTCATACACACTTGTCAATTACCATATCAGAAGGTAACAAAATACATAGTCTGCATTCAAGTGTCACTAATTAAGTGTTCTAATGTATTAATTTACAAACTCATTGATTGATCTTACACAATGCAGTAAGGACCTCTTTAAGAAAAGGATTTTGAACCTTTCCCTCAGTTCTGGTTTCCAATGACATTAACTGCTTAAGTCAATGGTCCATACTAATTCCACTGATCAAATGTCCCAAAGATGTTTTTGATCCCCTTTCTTTGCATATGTCTTTACACTCTGTGACCAGTACTCAGTTTAGTTTGACTCTGTGTACTAATGTAAGAGGGTTATCGAGCTGATCACAGGTATGAACTGCAAATCTTAAACCTAACTTATATACAGCAACTTCATGCTGTGACATATGCATTTTTAAATTAAAACTAGACTTTGAAAGAAAATTGACAAATGTGAGTACTAATCAATGTAAAGAAAAAAGAGGTTTAGGAAAAAAATTGGTTATTGTTAAAACAGCACACACAAATGTTACATGGATAGACATTGCTATATAGTACAAGAGAGTATGCATTATGTTGTGACGCGGTCTCGCCATCCGAAATTATACAGACTACAGATTTGTGCTTGCTGATTGGGACCCTGTGTGGCTTGCCTTTATAAGGTTGACCATTGTGACTCATATACTGTAGCTACCTGCACCATAGAATAAGCCCTTTACAGTAAATTATTATAGCAATTTGAAATTTCCAGCACTGTAATTACTTTGTGCTCTCCTGCCTTCACACCCACACTCACTCATGGTGATTTGAAAGGTATTTTAACTGAAATGGACTTTCATTGAAATGTAATAAAATGTGAATGGGGTCCCTTTTCTTGTGAGAAAACACATCTGAAAACAAGTTTAAATGTTCTTAGATGCATGATGTATTTTTTATGGAATGGGGGTAGTAAATGTGGTGGTCATATGGAGAATTTGAATCAACTGTATTCTCCTTTTTGAAGTAATTTCAGATTTACCCTAAATATTTCTTGATAAAACAAAATTCATGTGGTCATGGATACCTTAGAGGTAGATGTATTACAGTCACTAACCGCTGGCTGGACTCTTCTTGATTGTTTGAAATTACTGCATATATGATGTAAATTAATATTCCAGAGAAGATGTATCAAGTAGATTCTGTGCTAGGCTTGTAAGTCTTTCTGTATCTTAACTGTAGCAAACATGTCTATAGAATCTTTACTATTATCTGTGAGGACTCAAATCACAAAGCTTTTGTACCCTTAGGATGCGAATGTCCCAGCAATAAGTAGGTTGAAAGAAAAAATGTGGGGCAGGTTACTTAATCATCATCATTTATTAGATTTCAGAAAAGAAGAGCTTAAAAAAAGATCTGGGAATGGAACAAGGACCTTTCTGATGCATGAATCCTGCAAAAGTTTTTATGCAAATAGAAATAAATGCAGTCTTTGTTGTCCTAGCCAGTATTCTTAAACAGTTTTCTCATTACTGCTTGACTGGTCCATGACTATCTCTCCAATCCACCTATGGTTTCAAATGACCTTCATATACTCACCACTAATGTTCCACTGCCGATTTTAGGATGTTTTCAGCGGTAACACAGCCACTCCTGTTCTGAAGTTGAAAGCTTATACTGTAGCTTTAAGGCGAGAGAGAGCATGCTGTCTGTTCCTCATTCTCTAGGATTACTGAATCGTACAGCAGGATATTAGGAGGGGATGTATGTGTACATGTAAAAGAAGATATTGTCTTTTATTTCCCTAGTTAACTTGTCTGTCATTGAGGTATTTCTGGAATGTTTAAATATTAATAATAATGATAAAAGCCATTGTAAATACGTACTGTAATGGTCACAAGAAGAATATCAGATCCAGCTATATCTCACCTGCTTGATTTCACGTTTAACCATTTCTTCATTATATACAATAGAAAGAGCTGTAAAAAATCATAAATAATGACCATAGATGTACTGTAGGTAAATGAAACTGAATCTGTGAATTGGACTACTGTGTATCCTTTTTTCTGAGGTAGTTGATAATACTCTCTCTCTCATAATACTATTCTCTTGTCTAAAATGTGTCTAAAAATTCTTCAACAGCTCTTTTAGAATATTTAATAATGTAATAATTTATAATAATGCATAGGTACTGTATCTCCTTGACCCAGTGTACAGTTTAGGAACATACAGTACTGTTACATGTAATGAACATGGGAGGTTTCTGAATATTCTGTCAGTAAAGTGCTCATCTTACTATTTCATCTTACTGAGCTAGTAAAATCAATAATCAACAAATATACACTGTACATACTGCTACTGCCAATGAATCATCTTTATTGATTAAAAGAGTCACTTTACAGGTCACAAAATGTTGTTCCAATTCATGTAATCTTTTTCAAAACTTCAAATTAGTGATGGCTTTAATCTGTCCTCAAATTTGTATTTGACAATTCTGGACAAGAACAAGAGACATATTGTTGAAAAGAGCATCTTCACAGTGTCAGTTATTCTTATCACCAGTCTGCAAGGAGGGTGACAGTTTTTCTTCCTGGACTATACTGTGGACTGCAAAGTAAGGTGAAAATCAAAAACAGGTGTTACAGTACATTGTGGTGTTTAACATCCAATGGGAAATTATTAGGACTTTTGATTTGTCTCATTTTCTAAACCACTAGGTTTTCTAAGTTGTTAACCCCATAAACTGTTTTTGTTTTCCATTAGAATATTTATATAATAACAAAATGAAATCTCAATTTTAAAATCCTGTAATTCAGTCTTGAAAATGTTGCAATGAATGACTCTAAAAGCCATCCACTGAAACACCAGCTCTGCAGTGCCAAACTGCATTTCCTCTGTGTTTAGGAATCTCTTGTTTTGGGGCTTTTGTAGAAAATGTATGTTGATAAACAACACTGATGTTTGTACAGCAGTTCATACATTCTCACTTTAGATGTTTAGGCTGTGTGACCGAAATCATTAGAGCTAAATTGATATTCATTAAGGTAGCAAAAATGTATGCTTGAGGCTGGATTCTCATGCTTTACTGTGGAAATGTGAATTCACATTGAGTAGATGTGGTGCAAGTCAATACAAGTGAGCTAGCAGTCGACTTCCCCAAGTGGATGCCTGTTGTGTGCTTGTGTGTTACACTCTTAACTATAGCTGGGCTAATCCCTAAACGACAGATCATTATAGGGCAGCCACGTGATGGGCAGCTTGTTGCTGAGGTGAGGAGCGTGGGATACGATAGTATTATAGGCCAGCTGGAGCTGGAATCTCAAGTGTGCATTACTATACAGACAGTGCACTAGAGTGGACATCTTGGGTGACGTAGGATTTATTCAGGACCGCTAGCTGTCACCTCTGTGGACATCAAGCTCAATCAGACTTGAACCAACAAGCCACCCCCATCCCATCGACACGCTGTTGTGGATTACTTCGCTTACACCTGCCAGCATCCTTGTCCTTCCAAGGACAGGATTTCCAGTAAAGTGAGACCACTTTGGACAGTGTCTTTTTGTGTTTGACAGAGAGTCATAAAAAAAATGAACAACAGTTTGCAAGTTAGCAACCCCAGGAGTAGATTTGGCTCTACGAGTTCCCTCCAGGAGAAGTGTGAGCAGTCTTTCTTTCTATTTTATTACTACAGGATGGAGGACGAGGCAGTATTGGACCGAGGGGCATCCTTCCTGAAGCATGTCTGTGATGAGGAAGAGGTGGAAGGTAAGCTAGCTGGAAGCTGTAATATAAACCCCCAGCTGATGCACATGTTGTTTTTCTGTTTCCTCTGCACTGTCTCCCAGTTTGCTCTTATTATTTAATCTTTCCTGGTCCTTTTAAATTTCTATGTTTCTACACCATTGTACGTGTAAACAACAGTACAGTGTGCTGTACAGCAGTTTGTTTTTCAGGCATTTTATTGGATATAAAAATGGGGTATTAAAACAAAGATATGCAGGAATTTTACCTGCTTATTTGCTTTGATTCTACGCAGAACATCCTTCTGATGGATATTCACCTGTGCTGAAATTTAAAGTGGAGAAAGAATGATTTTTCCATTGTTTAAATATTCCGATATAGTATAAAGAAAAATAGTACAGAGAAAAATCCAGGATGATTATTGAATGATGCTGCCTGTTGTCATCTTTCAGTGAGTTTCTCTGGAAGAACACTAGCGTGCGCATGAAACATTTCTTTCACTGTATTTGTTGTTTTCTTATGTTGTGAACATACATTTATGGATCTGGAAGAAAATGAATCTGAAGATTTTTCATCTTTAGCTGCTCATTTTTGTGGCAGTGTCTGTTTTTCTCATTTACCTTAAACTGACTCCCTTAATAATCCCCTTCCCTGCTGCTTGTGTAATGCTGTGTCCGGCATGGGGCAAAATCCTCCTGCTGGCTTTCCGTTGTCCCTGATGCCCCCTTTGGCTTCCTCTGTGGGGTGCGGCTTTGAATAAAGGTTACAGCACACTTCCGTAGGCTTCTGAGCCCTTTTTTATTAAGGTTACCAGTTTTTCTCTTGAAATCAAACACGCTAATTCATCAGTCTACCAGTATAAATCCAGTAGCGTTTATTTAAGGTTGAACTGCCCTCTGCACAGGTATTCATTGTCCAAACATCCTGCTATGTGATTTAGATGTTTTTTACAGGGCGTTCTGCTTTGCTCCCATCTTCCACCTCATTTTCACTGAGGGCTCATCACTGTTTGCTCATTTCTCTGAGAACAGTGGTAGTAATACTGAGTGTTGCGCTGGAAACAATTTAGTAGCACTCTTGGAAATGTTAACAAACATTCATAGCTCTAAAAATTGATACATTTTATTTAAGAATATACTGCTCTAAAACAAACATACAACTTTTTTTGTCTCTACCCTTTTGTATGTATCTTTAAAATCCAAAATGTGTTGTACAATTCTTCAGTTATATCATTGTTAACACAGGTCATATTTTGCACATTTTGTTAATTTGAATAAACCATAATGTTAGAGTTATCTTAAAATATATTCTTTCTTTATCATTGCTTTGTGATTACAGTAAATGTAGAAAAAATATTCAGATGTTATTAAGTCCAATAAATTGTTTATTTTTGACATCTTAAACATAAAAGCAACTGGGTAAAAATACTGTAAGAAATAAAATAACTTAATTGCTACCATTGATTCCCAGAGGCTTCAGAACACAGCCTCATTAAATTGCTTAGGGCAGGAAATATACTTTAATGTGAATCAAAGAAGAGAGACTTCAGGGAGCAGAGATCTTATCACCTGATTTGAGTAAGGCCTCAATACTAGGTTTATTTCTATTGTGAAAAAGACATCTTTATAATGTTTCCTGAAAATGCTAGGTATAATGGGACATATTAAAGTGACTTTTATCTTATGGGATTCAATAGCTTCTGTCACACTACTTGAGCCCATTATTAATGCTATCCTGATCACAAATGAGAGCTATCTTAATGGCTGTGACCTATTGCAGGACCCTTCTGTCTGCTTTTTAACAATTAAAACCTACTACATGGCTCAGGATTTGTGCCTGTGGCTGGAAGGTTGCCGGTTCAAATCTCGCAGCCGGCAGAGGAATCCTACTCCGTTGGGCTCCTGAGCAAGGCCCTTAACCCCAGCTGCTCCAGGGGAGCCGTACAATGGCTGACCCTGCGTTCTGACCTCAGGCTCTCTCCCTGTCTGTGTGTCTGTATGTCTCATGGAGAGCAAGGTGGGGTATGCGCAAAGATAATTCCTAATGCAAGAAATTGTAAAGGGTTAATAAAGTGATATTATTATACATATTGAAGGAACACAGACAGGATCCATAGAAAATTGAAAGTGTGAAAACCATTGAAGAGTAATCATATGCACAACTGTTAAAGGCCGACTTTAAGTGCAGTGCACACAGATGTGTGAACATTTTCTTTCATACTTGTGTCCACTTTTACATGGCAACTGTTTACTCTGTGGCTACAGTAATGGTTTTATAGCTAATAGCAAAGAAGAATAAAGTAATTTAAGGGAATTAAAAATGAATTATCATAATAGTTAAGCCTTGTCTCTTTACTTATTTTTGGAGAGTGCTTGATTGATTGTTTGGAGAATCACATGTCTGATTAGCATGCTCTGTGGGCCAGGTGGCACTGTGCCACCTCTTGCATTGATCGCAACTATTCCTCTGACTCTGTTACTGGGGTAACTGCAAGCAAACAACACCAGTGATTAAATGAGCAGAACAAAACTGACTGCAAACATGAGAAATTCTCTTCATCGCGTGATAAACATTTTGATTCAGACCCTTTTTTAATGTTATAAATAAATCTCCTCACGGAAGGACAGGAAGTGCAATACAAGGGGTGCTTTGCAACTCGGTGAACAGAGCTCTGCCTTTGCTGGCACTTTTAAAAAGCAATTTTCCCACCTTTTATTAGCTGTAGGAACATTTCCATGCAGCCTTCGACAGCCAAGTGGTTTGATTTGATTTTGATGTGCATTACGAACTCATCAAAGGCTCTTATTTGGATCACACACAGCTCCCAGCAGCTCAGGTTAAGGTAGGGTTTGTGAAACAGCTGTAAACCCTTTAAAACCAAGCATATGCAAAACATATAAAATGACAAATACAGAAAATTAAGTGTGGATCCAGAAATAAGACCACAATGGGATTAACACTATATAAATGTATGAACTACTAACCTACAGATCTTAATCTACATCTTTTCCCTTCTGTCTTGTCTTTTATATCTGTTCATTTCCAATAACATCAGGAATAATGGAGCTGAATGTCGTGCTTCCAAAAGTCCTGCAACACAACTGAGAATTCTGAGCACTCATTGTGGAGATGCTTAGTTTAAGTTTAGTTTAAATATAAAAAATAAAGTTTGTTTTGTTCTCTTATGTTTTCATTGTTAAGGAACTTACAGATGTTTTCCTAGAATTACCTGCTAAATGAAACTACAGTTCTGATTTGTGAATTCAATTTGTGCTATTTGTATTATTGATTTGTTTGCCGGAAGTCGTTATCCAAGGCAACCCACACTTGAAACAGATCATAGGTCTGTTAAAGCTGTATTTTTTACATGTCATAACAAAAAGTTAATAATATACAGTACACTTGCATGGGAAGACTTTGTTGCTCTTAATTTTATGCATCAATTTTTATTACTTTAGTTGTTATTAACTGGTATTTACATTTGGCCCCTGGATGTGAAAATTAAGTGTTACTTATTCTTTAGCTCATTGAGTACAGTATGTAAAAACAGAAAAAAATAGAATCATCAAAAAAAAAAAAAAAGAATCTCGTTGGGTAAAAGTGCACCTAACAAGCTTTTGAGTGATTGGCACGTTGCAGTGCCTCACTGCACAAGCTGTATTGCTGGTCAGAGGGCTGAAAACAAATTGACAACTTTTTGTGTACATAAGCTATAACTGTAGTATTCTCATTCCAGAAAATGTTGTGTTTCTTTTTTCCACCAGTATATAAAAGTTTAAGTTGTCATTTTGCAATCTTAAAATGCTTTTAGGTCACCGTTATGGTTGGTAGGAGAAAAAATAGAGAGTTCAATATGGTGATAAGTATAAAGAAAAGCACTGACTGTTAACAGAACTGACAAACATTTAAAGATATTAAACTGACTATGTTTTCAAAACATATTGTTCTGTTAGGCAATATCATTTCCCCACTTTGGTGACATAAGTAATAAGGTCAGAGTTGTGCTCCTGAAACTCTTCAGTCACTGAGCTAATACCTCAGAATGCCTGTGGTTGTCAAGGAAACACTCTTCTCATATGAAAGGAAGAAAAGTAATCTTTTCTATTTCACTTCTTTCAGCAGTTGTAAAATCACAACAGAATGAGATCAGTAATTATCAAGGAGAACACTCCTGTACAAATACAAATTTACATGAAAACAGACATACAAATAATAGTAAATGTTCTATATTTTATTTCGGTGATTTTTTTTCTCTTGAAAATGATTTCTGCATTAAAATTGATTCACTGGTGCTTATTTTCTTCATACCAAAATTGCTCAGGATAAAATATTTTTGTAATATGTAATATGGATTGTAATAGTAAAGATTGCAAAAACAATTAAATTATATTGAACAAGCTGAAGAATTCTTTTCTTTGCAGGAGCTGGCTCGATCTGTAAAACATTCCAGTAGTACACAGCACTGAATGTCAGTCCTGGGTATTGTGTTTCCAGGTCCTTTAGTGCCATATCTAGCATTAAAAAGTTACATTACAGCCATGATTCAACAATCATTAAAGCCTGTTTAAAGCAACTAAGACAAGCCCTACAAGTGTGTACCATAGCTATACATATACAGCTATATATGTATTCAGTTGTTAGAGCTTGCTTTTTATGTACTGTTAAATATTATTTAGATGAAATACAATGAAGCTTTAAGCACATAGCTTCCAAAAACTGTAAAAATTGACAAGTGCAATATAAACCATTTGGACATTAAGTAACTACTGACCCTCCATGCCATCCAAAATAAAGCAAACTTTTCATCTACCTGCTTCTTTGTTTAGTTAAAATATTGTATAGGTTAACAAAATTATAATTGTATACAATTGTAGAGGAGGTTGAAAAGTAATTTTTCAGAAGTTGTTTCCTGGAAAAGCTTAGCAATTTCCTGTATAAATTGCATTAAGGAAGTGGTTGGCATTTATTTACATCCTCACTTTGTGGCAAAGGGCTGAAATCCCCTCCCTGTAGTCCAGAAGGAAACAATTGACACCCAATTCCTGACTTCACCATCTTGTTCAACGTTTCCCCTAACTGTGTTAACACCCAGGTTTCTCAGGAGCCTTGATGATGTCATGTTACAAGAAGGAATGTACAGTCTTTCAATCTTGTTAAGAATAAAAAATCAACAGAACTTTAAAGTTCACAACAGTCTAGTTAGGTAATGGCTAATGTATCTTAATTCATAACTTGATTCACTCAAAAGCAGCTCTTATCAAAGCTCAACTTTAGGCTGTAAGTTCCATACACTTGAATATGAATTGTTAACTAGCTTATCTGTAACTGATCTACATTTTGCATTGCAACTGACATTTTGGATTTGTATGTTGGTTTTACACTGGTTAAGTGTGTTAAATTGAGTGAGTTTATTTCATTTTTGTTATGGTGCCAAAATGTTAAGGGTTTGTCTTTCCATATCAGTACATGGACAAATTAGGTGTTGATTTAGCATGATTTGTTTTATTTCCTGCAGTTAATCATTACTTTGAGACACGGATACAACAGAGAACTCCTTCCCTTTCACATCACACCATATATGCATATAAACAATATTGCCTGTGTGGTTGAACAGACAAAAAAATATCAGTATGTTTTACAGCATATAATAAGTCACAATAAGCTTAAGTCACTTAATTTAATTAAGTTATACAGTTAACCATTCCAGTGCAAGAGTTAAATTGCCAAGCAAGGAACAATTTGTCATATATTGTGTCATCTTACTGTAGGTCACCACACCATCTATATTGGGGTTCACGTGCCCAAAAGCTACAGGAGACGAAGACGCCATAGGAGGAGAACGACACACAAGGAGAGGAAGGAGAGAGTGACAGAAAATGCCTCTGACAAGTCAGACGTGGAAAACAATGATGAGACCAGCACCAGCATCCTCAAACCACTCAGTAAGTACTTACTGCAAAGCGCTTGTCATTCTGTTTACAGCCTGTGATGTCTTCTGTAGGAGTGGCGCTTACTTGTGGAATAGGGACTTTCAGCCTTTTGATATTTTTAGGTCACCCTACGAATGGAGTACTGACAGTCAAATCAGACAGATGGGTTTTGCTCTGCTGGGTACGATGTGGAATTTTCCAACAGAATTGCTTGTCTCTCACTGGATCAGTTAGATATCCGAGAGGAATAGTATTTTAAAGTCAAGTCAGCAACATATGAGCTACACAATATTTTAGTAACATATAGTGTCAAGCAGTTTTTGTGGAAAATTCCATGTCTGCAGAATTCCCCAGGGAGTAGTACTTAGATAGGGATTCTCAGTGTGTAAGTAATAACCACACAAATGGGGCAGGATGGTTTAGTGTCTATCACTGTGTGTGAACGTCAGTAGCTGAGAATTGCTCTACATTTCAGGGACATTGGTCTCTGCTCAGAACTGAATCTACTGTTGTTTATCAAGTGCTGTTTATTGTACATTGTTTAGGAAAGTGAATTCAGCTTTCTAACAACAGAGGAAGCAAATAGCCTGACCAAAACCAGTGTAAATATTAATTATAGTTTCCACACTAATTGAAGTTGTGACCTTTGTTAGATTCACGGAGAACAGGGTGATACAAGGAACATTTATTTTTAGTAAATTTAGGTGCACTATGTTTTGTTTTTGAATTTTTCTACAATTATTACACGATCAAAGTAAATTAAATGTGTTTTAGTCTTGCATTTGCATGGGCCATACATTTTGTTCAATGCATCAGTGTTGATCTGCAGCAGTTATATCATGTCATGTCATTTACCAAAGCGCTTTATACCATATGGTGTACCATATGGAGCCTCCCTGGCAAGTAACAAGCACAAGGCAGGATACACTTTGGACTGGACGTCAGTGCATTGTAGGGCAAGTGCAAGGCAGTCATACATGGGGACACTTTGGAGGCCATGGTAAAGGCAGAAGGGGGAAATTCATCCCGGACAATGGGATAACTCCCTACTCTTATTGAGAAATGCCTGGGGATCTTTAATGATCACTAAGAGTCAGGACTTCGGTTTAGCGTCTCATCCGAAAGATGGTGTCCACTACTGTATAGTGTCCCTGCCACTATACTGGGGCATTAGGACCCACACAGACCGAATGGTGGGCGCCTCCCACTGGTCCCACTAATACCACTTCCAGCAGCAACCATAGCTTTCCAGTAGCCAGGTACTGACCAGGCTCAACCCTGCTTAGCTTCAGTGGGTAGCCATTTGAGAGCTGCAAGGGTGATATGGCTGCTGGCTTCAGCAATAATATCATTTAAAAATATATTTCAGAGTTAGTATAAATAACTAAGATGTTATCAGAAAGTGAATCTTTTATAACGTACTCTTAAAATCCAGTCTATGAACATCTCTTTCTAGACAGGCACAACCAAGTTCCAGGTAACTTTGAAGTCAGAATCACAGATCTAATACTGTACTGTACAAAAGAAAGCATTATCTTAATGTATACAAAGTCAAACTATTAAATGTCTTGGATGATAGTAACCTGATGTTTTGCTAGCTTGCAAAATAATTTGAAAAAAAAATATGTTTGTTAGGTTAGCCATTATACCTGTTTCAGACTGATACTCTGTTCAGCAGTGAAATATTGATCAAGTCACCATTAAGTACCTTATGAGTTTGCCTTGATGAACTGACTTGCTTTCAATGCTACTTCATCTTTCTCCTTTCAGATGCATGAAATCCAATGTGAATAGACTGGTGCATAGTAAACATTTGAATTTTTATTAATCAGTTAGAATTTAAAATGCCTGTGTTAACATTTTCCAAATATTATTTTCCTGTCTTTTCTTTGAGAAACTATGTAAAATAAGTATTAAAAATCCCTTAATCGTTTGTCAGTATAAATCTGAATGATTAAAATGAGCCAACCCTGTGGAAGGTATCTGGGGATTGATTCAACTGAGGTTCTTTTTTTTACAGAGTGTGCATCTGAACGTTAAGTCAGGCACATGCAGAAGTCACAGTAGCTGATTTTTTTGACATTTGAAAAGTGTTTTGGTGTCATAAACATTTTCACATTCAAGTGTTCACTGTTACAGTTAGCTATTGATTCATTCAAAATAGTTCAAATATTTTTTCAGGTCAGTGGCAGGTTACTAGGCTTATTTTTAAAGATTTTCTAGGCTTATTTTTAGTGTAGCTTTGGATTTTTCTGCAGTGATCTCAGGTTGCTCCTGACATCTTTTGTCTCTGAGGAAATTGATTTATAATACAATTGGGCTTATTGTTGTTAAAGAGAATAAAGTTCCAGTTTCTAAAAAAAAGATTTTATGACAAAAGAAACTGTACTAAAAGGACACTATCAGTGACCTACATAATTGTTTTCCTGAAGAACATAATAATGTTATTTTGGTAATTGTTATTCTACATTAAATTTTAGATACAATAGAAAAGTTGGGCCTTTCATTTCTTATTTTCTGAGTAGCAGCTGATACATATCTGTAAAGTGATAATCTAAAAACTAAAAATATAAATTTTATATTAATTTTATATTTAATTTTATATTTATAAATATAAATGGGCAAGAATTTCAGTCTCTCGATGTGCAAAACTGATAGAGACATACCCCAAGCGACTTGCAGCTGTAATCGCAGCAAAAGGTGGCTCTACAAAGTATTAACGCAAGGGGGCCGAATAATTTTGCACGCCCCACTTTTCATTTTTTTATTAGTTAAAAAAGTTTCAAAAATCCAATAGATTTCGTTCCACTTCACAATTGTGTCCCACTTGTTGGTGATTCTTCACATAAAATAAAAAATTTATATCTTTATGTTTGAAGCCTGAAATGTGGCAAAAGGTTGAAAAGTTCAAGGGGGCCGAATACTTTCGCAAGGCACTGTATATTGCATTTGGCATGCTCATTTCGGATGTTCCTGGTTACGTTAAGCATACAGTCCAACTGTTCATTCCACACTTGGAAATATCTTTAAATAAAACTGTTTTTAAATGCCTCTGTACTGCATTATCAGTATTCAACACAAAGTCCACTTGGTCATTAAAACATTCCTGGGTTCAAAGGTGATTCCGGTTAATTGTATCTATGATATTGCCTGTTCAAAAGCACTGCAAAATTGCAGACAATCTGTCACATTCAATGGCCTGTATCGGTTTTTTATCAAATTCTGTTTTTTTTTCAATTCTTATGCAGTAGCTATTGTCTAACTGTTTTGTATATATTTGCATGGAAATATACAGTATATTCTGTATATAATTATGAGATTAACATGATTTGCTTTTATCATTCTAGTTTCAGTCCAGGTCCCCTGTAAACAACCAACACCTGAAGCAGAATTGTCCTTTTTTGCAGCAGCATCACAGCAATTTCTTCTTTTGAACAACAACAGAATGATCACCTCTGATTGACCAGGTCCTAATCATTTCACTTTTAACTTTTCAATAACTCAATCCCTTGGAAAAAAAAAAAGATTTGTATGTAACTTGTCAACATTATTGGTCTCTGACAAAATATTCTGGAGCTCCCCGACCTCCTCAGATGAAATAGTATCATCTTCTTAGGAACTGGCTACATATCAACAGCAAAGGCCTAGAGATCTACAGTATGTCATTGATTGAACATTTTTAAGACTACTTATTAAAATATAAATTTGTGCCATAATTTTTAACAACTACTCAGTGAAAAAAACATTCACTCACATGCGTGGATACACAGGCACCCACATGGCCAGATGCAAGCCTTTCTGTGGAAATCAGGCCAGTTACAGTATCTACTATAAAATCTACTGTAAAAGTACACGGGAGGAGTGTAGTTCACAACAAAGATTTTATTTGGCTTTTGAAAGGCGAGTTCAAACACCCCTGAGTTTTTGCAGAGATTTTAAAATCCTAGTGAGATTATGATGGTGAGTAATATTAATCTATAATAATTTCTAAAACAAATATGAAGTTTACTATAATAATCATATACAGTACATATTATGTTCTATTATGTGCCAGCAGCCCAACGACACAGCAGGTCAAGTGAGGTGAGAAGTTACATCATCAACTGAATGAAGGAGGAAATTTAGAGAGGGCAGAGTATGCAAGCTCAGAGTGGTATTTAGCAAATACAAATGTATCTCTCATGCTGTGTGTTGGATTCATGAACAAAGTAACGTGACTGGTGATTAATGCATCCTCATGATTTTCAGATTGTTCTGTGAAGCATTTGCACTTTAGAAGAATGATCATTTTAAGGGAAGTGGTCATCATATGATACATTAACAGCCTACGGCAATCTCAAGCAGACAATGTTAACTGTTATGGGGTTCATCTATGTGTGAATCAGACACCCGCAGTATATTTCAAACCAGGTTGAACCCTTGATGATGGGGGAAAAAAAGCAGAACGATTTACATTGAAATGAAGTAGTTATTATTGAAATCTGAAGTCATCAATCAAGCAAATGCACTTGTGTATAAGCACTTCCTGTAGGGCCTGTAAAGCAGAGTAAAGAACTGTTGGTTATTTTTAAGGAGGCTTTGCTTGAGAAAAAAGCACTTTATACAGTATACAATATAAAGCCACGAATAGCTTGTGTGTAGATATGTAAGATACAGTATTAGCTCAAATGTTTCATATCAACAAAGAGTTTGAAAGAATATTTCATAAAATGGAGGATCGTTTTTTGTCGGACTTGGTTTTTGATATGTCTGGTAGCTCCATTATCCTTTCCCAGTTTTATATCTTGGTATAAAGCCTCCCTGTACTCCTGCCACCCTCCTCCTAAAAGAGGTCTTGTTTGAAGCCTTGTGCAGGGCCTTCACTGCCAGGGATTCATTTACATTTTGGTGCTTGGCCATCAAGTAGGCAGCCATCTTTTATACAGAATTTCCGGGTGAACAAACAATGCAGTATTAGAAATTTGCCTACAGCACACATTCTTTATGAGTAGTTAGGATTTAATTTATACAAG